TCCCCCTCCTCCTCCCCATAGACTCCACTCCCTTCTGAAGAAAATTAGCACCCACTCAATAGAAGAATGAAACATTCTAGGAAATATTAAAAAGACGGAATATTATATTTCCCTGGATGAGAAAAGGAGAAATATGTTTTTTTAAAAGACAAAGCAGCTCCCTGTAGCTCCCTCTCAATACCCCCTCCCCATTGAGCTCCAGGGTGATGGGATTATGACATGGCCCTCGGGACATGATAGGATTAGCCCTCTACCCATTTTACAGCAGGGCTCATCCTGTTGCGAAATCACCTGGGGACATTACATCAGCCCACAGTTCAACCAGATTTATCTCAGACAAGCTCCTAGAATTTGCACATGACCCTTTGACTGCAACCAATAGGATACATGCCCTTGCCACATGAACAGGAATCTCTAAGGCAGGGCCCAGGAGAGAGTATAAATATATCGCTCTCCACTCCATGTGCTCAGCTACACAGAATCACACATTTGCTTGGTGGTTCTGCTTCACCGTCAAACAATCCTTCCAACTTTCCAGTGTCTTTCTCCCCCACTTGGAACTGAACCCATTTCTTCCAACACTTTTAACCCAGATGACGCTACCTAGTTGGGTCACCAAGGTTCTGCAAGAAAACAACCAAGCTTAGAAAGCCCCGAGGAGCCCACAGGGCCATTTTTAACTATGGCTTAAGTGTGGTGCATATCGTCAGAATGCACAATTTCTCCATTTGAGGCTTCCTGGCCTATTTCAGCTCTGCGACCCTGGCCTTAACCTCTCTAGCTAGCCCAGAAGCATTGTTTGCAAGGGGAAAGTACCTGAAAACGGAGGGGAAAGAGGCCAGGATTACCTCTGCAAGGCTTGTTTCTGGCTTGTTGAATAAGTCATGGCTCCTACAAATGCGGATTAGTATGAAGACAACTGTTGGCTTGTCACTCAAGGGATGAATTGCTGGAGGGCAGAGAAGGGTAGGGCTCTATGTGTGATGGAGTTGAACATTCCCCGCTGATCTTCCTTTGTTCTGTTCTATGTGTAACTATAAATTATGTAAAAACTGGGATATTCTATGCACAAAGGTTTCATTTTTTTAATATTACCTTTATTTTATTATTTATATTTTTGCAGGGCTGATACGCTCTGGCGGTGGTCAGAACCAGCTCTGGGCATCCCATACAGTATCCCCTTTGTAACGTTGGGATAAAAAACATGCAAATCTAAAATACACCTGCCTCGTTTAATTTTTGTTTTAGTGCTGATTTCTCCCCCTTGTAGTGTCTTCAAATAACAGACGAAATAGCAAGTAAAAAAATAATCAGAATAACAGAGTTGGAAAGGACCTCGGAGGACTTCTAGTCCAGCGATCACCAACTGGTGGTCCGTGAGAAAATTTTGGTGGTCCGCAGAAAAATTGTTTGCATTTTTTATATTGCAGAGGTCCTCAAACTACGGCCCTGGGCCGGATACTTGCAATGAACACTTGTGTTGCTGCAGAGAGTCCCCCCCTTCGGGGTCTTTTTGTGCAGGTCAGAGGAGGGGGACAGAAATTCTGACTTGGGATCTGCTTCAGCCTCCTGGTGGGGGCCTTTGGCGAAGGCTGGCTGGTGGCAAAGATTGTGGTCATAAGTCAAGGACTATCTCCCCTTGTTTCCTTGAACCAGATGGATGCTATTTCATTGCACTGATATCACAGATCAACAATAAAGGATGTGACTTGGAAAGCGCACACCTTCTAACCGCAACCAGTGGGATGGTTTGAAGGTACTCGGATATCTCTCTTGGCTGGAACTGCATCCTCTTTTTATAGAATAGAATAGAATAGAATAACAGAGTTGGAAGGGACCTTGGAGGTCTTCTACTCCAACTCCCTGCCTAGGCAGGAAACCCTTCACCACTTCAGACAAATGGCTATCCAACATCTTCTTAAAGACTTCCAGTGTTGGAGCATTCATAACTTCTGGAGGCAACTTCTGTTCCACTGATTAATTGTTCTCACTGTCAGAAAATTTCTCCTCAGTTCTAAGTTGCTTCTCTCCTTGTTTAGTTTCCATCTGTTGCTTCTTGTTCTACCCTCAGGTGCCTTGGAGAATAGCTTGACTCCCTCTTCTTTGTGGCAGCCCCTGAGATATTGGAAGACTACTATCATGTCTCCCCTAGTCCTTCTTTCTATTAAACTAGACCTACCCAGTTCTTGCAACCTTTCTTCATATGTTTTAGTCTCCAGTCCCCTAATCCTCTTTCTTGCTCTTCTCTGCACCCTTTCCAGAGTCTCCGCATCTTTTCTTCATCGTGGCGACCAAAACTGAATGCCGGATTCCAAGTGTGGCCTCACCAAGGCCTTATAAAGTGGCATTAACCCTTCGCGTGATCTTGATTCTATCCCTCTGTTGATGCAGC